CACAACGACTTTATTCGGCCCAGTTCATCCGCGGTATCAGACCTCGAGGATGGAACCGGTGATACAGAACAAACTGGTTGAAGCTGATCTGACAATCCCTGTTCGAAGGCTATGACGTTCACCCAGACCAGTAGAACGCTATATATTACAACCATGAGTTTGTCTGCCATGTGAAGGGACGTTAGGCACACCTAGTAAGCACACGCGACCAATCACATTACCATAGTGCATTCGCATTCTGGTCTCAGTTTCTCATTGATTCGTTTGGTCCTATTTGTTCTCACTTGGCTCCGGTTAGGAACAGATATCAGCTTCACACGTACCAGCCAGGGTTAGTGTTTTCCTATGTCTAAACGGATTACGGGTCCGTACACGGAATAGGAATACCCGATCGGTACGTAACTGTGCTGCAAAGTGTTGTGGCACCATTGAATAGGCTTTAGATACAGCTCTGCTTATGGTTCCATGGGTGATTGCTGTGATAGTTTAATATTTGATCTGTGTGTATCTTCTTCCGATAAAAACAACTTTGAAGTTTTCCGTCTGTATCCCTGTGAACCAGTACATCCGAGAATGGGAGTTCGTTGTTCTTCTCCAGTTCGATAGTAAACTTGATATCTCCGAATGTGCTGTTGAGTTGCTCGTGCGTATTTTGTATGGAATCCCGTTTGATAATGACAATCTTGTCGTCGACATACCGAATCTATGATTTTGGAAGGATGCCAGTAGTAATGGACAAATCGGAGTACATTGCGAAGGCCAAATAGCTCCTTTCCAACACCAGTACATATCGCTCTATCCATCAGAACCTTAGTTCCATGCTGATTACGCAAATCAACACAACGTTAAAAGACTAAGGCAACGAACGAGATTACTAAACTGGAAAAATGGAAGATTAACGCTGATGATACAAACATTGCAAGGTTCTATGGACTAGCAAAGGTACACAAGGACTGAGTCCCATTGCGTCTAATCGTCTAGTTGCCAGGAACCCCACTGTACAAACTAGCAAAGTGTGTGAATGTGTGGAGAAAATTGAAACATCTAATTGCCGGATCTGACCAAAGTATCAGCAATTCTGAATGCCCTACAAACTAAGGACTGCCAAGATGGAGGAGGATGAAATCATGCTGTCGTTCGACGTAACCGCATTATTCACATCAATCCAGCACGAATTTGTGAAAAATAACATGTTAGAGTAATATCACAATCCGCCAGACAAATAAGACACCTCAAGTCATTGAGTGTTTGGGAACTGCTTAATCTCTGCATGACCACTTTTTATTATTTTGAAGGGTAAGTGTACCAGCAATTGAAAAGAACGCCCATGGGATCGCCAATATCAGGACTTATTGAAGAAGCGGTGATGCAGAAAGTGGAGCGTATCACACCATTCATCAAACCGAAAGTAAAGATTCGGTATGTCGACGACAAGATTGTCATCATCAAACGGGATTCCATACAAAATACGCACGAGCAACTCAACAGCACATTCGAAGATATCAAGTTTACTATCGAAGTGTAGAAGAACAACAAATACCCATTCTTGGATGTACTGGTTCACAGGGATACAGACGGAAAACTTCCAAGTTGTGTTTATCGGAAGAAGATACACACAGACCAAATATTAAACTACCACAGCAACCACGCATTGAAGCACCAGAAGAGTTGCATCTAAATTCTTTTTACATAGAGTCGAAAGACATTGCAGCACGATAGAATGGAGGAATGAGGAGAACCATATGTATCGAGCATTCACCATAATCATCATTATACATGTTAGCTGCAGGTGGGAAACCTCTCAGCTATTTTGCTGCATTGTAAAACAACGGCAACTCAAAAATTTTATCAGAAGTAGCCTGATTAAAATAGTGCCTTTTACAACAGAGAGAACAAGTAGCCAAACTTGCAGTGCTTCCTCACACTAAGAACAAGTCGGAAGTAACAGCGAGATTGCTACGACCACAGAGAATGTCGGTAGCCCAGAAACCAAAAGTTACTTTGAAAGGATTGCTTTCAAGACTGAAAGACAAAGTCAAACAAGGCAGTCAGAACGATGTCACCAACAAGATAAACTACAAAATGTGCCAAACACTACATCGGACAAACTGGACGGAAATTCTCAACAGGGACCACCGAACGCAAAATGGCCATAAGGAGACATGACCCACATTTGTAGGTTTCCATACACGAGCATCAGGAAGGCCACCACTTCGACTTAGAAAACGTAAAGATTTTAGCATGTGGAAATTCGAAACAAGCTAGAGAATTCTTGGAAGCTTGGTATACTACAGCCAAATATATCAACCGACACGCTGAAATAGATGGGATATACTCGGCACTGCGCATGAAAGACAACCAACGTAATCAACTAAATCGGTCGGAACAGAACGCAGGACATGCACGTCGGAAGACGAGGTCAACCGCAAAGGCACGCGTGCTGAGGAATCAATTTCGGTGGCCATGTGTCCGTCGAGCAATTTAAACGCACAGTGACAGCTCGTCCGCCTGACAAACGGCCGAGATTAGTTGTCAGTTTGCAATCGAGCGAGACGCTTGGTAGGCGTCCCGGTAATGTTCATGGAAAAACGACAGCGTATTAAGACATGATCAGTCTGCGCAAATACTCCAAAAAGTGGGGCAATCCGGGGTGGAACGACGCCATATGTAACTTATGGCAACGTGACCAATTTGGGTCCACCGCTGGCCAGCTATATGTAGACGGCAAGTGGCACTTCGGGATCCCGCTGTGTCCAAAAGTGGTGCTACTAAGAAACAACTGGTGCTCCGTACACAGCTGTAACAGACGTTCGTCGTTGTCTGTGCGGTCGGAGTTAAATACCTACTTACTACCTAGCTGAGCGTCTGGGGAACTCAGACGACGCAACTGCGCATCCATGTTCCATACAAGAACTATGGTATCTGAAGTGGTAACACTGCGTAGTAAGGTGTTGTGTTCGTGGTAAAAGGCGTACGTAGCAGCATCAGAACTGCAGTCAGTGGGGGCGGAAACAAAAAGCGTCTAGTGCAACTTGGTGAATCAACCTTACTTGATGTAGTCAAACGGACTGCACACAAATGGCTGTTCACTGGCATGCAAAAGCAACCAACTCAGCTCTACACCATTTCCCGGCCAAGTTGTCCTCTTGGGCAACAGAAATAATCTGAGGGGCATTCAACATGAGTCTACTCAATTAATTTGTTCCGTGCGTAGGAGCTGAAGCGTCCCACCTGCACCCCTATGACTTAGTGCGTCTGAGGTCCAATTGGTTGAAGGCGACGGGCTATACACGCACACCTACACAAGTGACTGGCGTACGCACGGAACAAATTAATTGAGTAGACTCATGTTGAATGCTCCCTCAGATTATTTCTGTTGCCCAAGAGGACAACTTGGCCGGGAAATGGTATAGAGCTGAAAACGATGCCCATTCAAGCTTGACCAGTTGTTGTCGCATCAACGTCTCCTGATGCGCGCAACCAATAGCGAGAGGACGATCCGGGCGTAGTTAATTCAACATCCCCATAAGGGTCATTGATACTAGTTTCGGAAACACAACATACGTCAATAACCAGTGTGTCCAACGTGCGTGTGAGTGCAGCTAGTTGACCTATTTGTCTTAGTGTGCGAACGTTGAACGCCGCTAGGGAAACAGTACAGCGTGGCCTTATAAGGGACTGTTGGCGATTGGCGTCCAGTGAGTAGCGAGAAGACAGCTGTAGGTGGTAGAAATCCAGTTGCACTGCGGATGTTGTCAATTAAAGTAGGAGTTACGAATGAAGGCTTATAATGAGAATTGGGATGGGAGTAAGAGAAACAGGCGGAAAAGAAAGAAGGGAGATATCAGCAGTCGCATGGTTTCGCTTACCCGTCCTGCTGTATGCAGCAGGTAAAGTGACCCTCGATAAGCTGCGCGACGGCTGATGCAGAATGTGGTTGAACTATGCAACAGTCTTAGTTGTACGTGGGATGAGATACTGAAAGGGGACCCAAATCTAGAAAAAAGAACGATTGGGGTCCTCAACTAAAGTCTTTGGCTAAAAACCATGTCCGCAAGGAAGCGGATGCGGTAACGATCTGGTTTTACTTGAATAGACGCCATTCCATTTCAAACGCTCAACCTGGAGGACCAGAACACTGAGTTTGTCTGACCTCTAACTATTAACCGATCTGGCAGATGTAGCTCTCAAGAGGTCCAAGGCTCCATCTAGTATAGCTTAATGGGTCGAGAAGGTATGCAAACCGTCACACCACGTTGTGATGGAGGAAAGGTATCGTTTACGTAAGACGATCTGGCTCATCAGAAGCTACCAGAAAATTCATTTGCGCCGCATGTTGTCATGACCTATTTGTAGGTTACTTGAATAGGAGCTGCATTGGTAAGCCTAAGAGCTGACCTTTCCGTCAGGGGAGCGAAGGTTGTCAAGAGTGATCTATGAACACAGCTACCCGCTTAGCTTATAACCACAAGGTACTGTGTTTCAATGGTTACAGCGCCGAAATCACATTCGTTAAGATGATTTGGATTTTGGTTTCGGTTTGGGTTGGAAAGTTCGAGGGAAGCGATACTGTTTTCAACTAAGATCGAACACAATGGATGACCAAAGGTGACTTTTACGACAAGTTGAGACAAGACAACAGAAACCGTCGCACTCAAGCGCACTATGCTAGAACAATCTAAGGCAACGGTAAGGTACTGGTAACATAAGAACGCGATAAGCGAAAAGACTAAATCTCGAGCCACATGGTTTAACGCAACTGAGCATTGTAGTTACTAAAAGCATATGCTCCTGACTACATATTCGAGAACTCGGTCACAGCAGCTAAGCGGTACCCAGATAGTCGCGCTCCACGGGAATTACAGAATTGACAAGGACGCTGAATGTAGAACATGACAATCTATATTTACATAGAAGATATATAAAGCGTAACAATAATACGGAGTGTGGATTTGACGGAGACTGAGGTAACCGCTTTGGAGACGGGCGCGTGTAACACTTCACAATTGACCAGGTAGACCGTCTTGTTGTGCCGACCGCTCCGAGGATACGGAGAAGCCTGCAGCTTGCTCAAGATTCATTCTTGTGGCAGCCAAAATATCGGCAGTCTGAGACACTGTAGAAAAATAAAGCATTGGCGGCAATGCATCAGTAAATACCGAAACATTCGATCGCATACTATAAAAGTAACCCTACGTTTTATCAACTGTCAAAAAGATGTCCATCGGCAAAAATGCGCAAAGAATGAAAGCGTTCTACCTCGAAAAGTCCGAGAGCGCATAGTCGACATATATTTAAACGCTCGGACAACTTGACAGGGAATAACCATCTTGCTGCTGGTACATAACACGTTAGCTGAAAGTGATAAACACCCTACAGCCAATGTGCCACGATACAAGAAGACATAAGAAAAAGCGAGATACAGAATATTGTAAAATACAATTTGGAAAACCATATTATGCAGCACGTGAGAGGTGATTGTAGGTGGAAGATAATCGAGGGATGGGGCGAAGAAACACAACATAAACGTCACTGATCTCGGCTCCTGACCATGTCAACAAGTGTATCCAACCAGATGTGTTCGTCGTCTTTCGGTCCCCAGCCTGGAAGTCAGGAGACACCAATTGACGCCAAATTCGAGGTAAGGGCTTTCATTCCTCTTGATAAAGTCATCGTTTTTCCATCGACAATCGCTGTCGCGCGAGCTACGCACGTCGCGAAAGTCTGTACGCCGGCATGTGCAACACGTGGTTCAACTATAGGAGCCTGGTGCGTGGTGTAATGGTGCTGAGCGCTTCAATCGCTCTTCCTGCATCAAATGCACGACGCCTAGCACGCCCACTGCTCACGCGGTGTTCGTGCCAAACATGAGCTAACCTGCGAAGGCAGCGATGGTTGTACGTAACTAGCCTCTTTAGATCGGATATGCCACGTTTCGCAACTGTACAGCAGGGTTGAACCGGCGGCTGCACTGTAAACTCTGCATTTCAGCGCAATAGTGATATCGCGCTGACATCACAGATGGCGGAGATTGGCAAAATCGCCTAGGGTTTTTGTTATGTGGTTCGTGGTCCAAAGTTCGATCCCACGAGCGCTCATATAGTTGCCTAGACACATGAAATTCTTGACGAGTTCTAGCTGGTCGACAACAACGGGTGAGCCCTTGTCAATCTCGGAGTAGGACTTTGCATTTCGAGGATAGAAAGCAGAACCCGAAACGATTGACAGCTGCAGTTAATGTATCTGGTGCTGCTTGGCACGTCAAGAAGTCGTTCACCTGGGAGAAACTTCCCACCTTCCAAGTCGTGTCCAATGAAAGCAGTCTCCAAGACTTCGTGGATGGCGAAATTAATAAGGAAAGGTGACAGCGAGCAATTTTGTCTCACACCGCTGGAGATATTGAAGAGTGACCACAGATTGCCGTGAACTCTCACACTGCCCATATTGCGCTTGAAAAGCGTTCTGATAATGTCCACCTATTTCTCATGCACACGTTTCGTGAGCAGAAAGTCTCAAAAGGCAAACAAATCAACGGAATCGAATACACATTTGCTGTTGTGAAACACAACTACGGTGGCTCGCCAATAAGTATGGCGATGCTCCAATAATTGATGTGATGTGAAGATGTGGTCAATGCAGCCGCGACTTCGACATAACCCGGTTTGCTCCTCAAGTAGCTGGCTTCCATGGGTGCCAGTCAGTCTATGGAAGACGACAGAGCAAGCAAGTTAGAGGCAAATGAGATCGGGCTGATTCTTTTATGATTGCCGCATTCCGAACCGGAGTCTCCCCTAAGAATTAGGACTGCTGATGGTAATGCAAGCAAAATTAGCAGCACAACATAATGGATAAGAAACAATTAACAGTGGGACAGAAAAACGTGCCGATGAATGGAAAAAGGCAGATCGAATATGAAATGACTAACGAAAGCACTGTGTCGTTTCCCATATCGAAGATAATGCAAGATTCAACGTTTAGGAAGCAAAGCCAGAGAACTACAGGAAAGAAAATCCCAGGATAGCACATGACTCACATTCATTGGCGAATGAATCAATGCCACGAGTTAACTTGTGATAACGGCGTCGACAGTGTTCTGCCCGTTGGACTAAACCGGCCTCATGAATTGTAGTTGAATGAGAAAAAAGATCTGCAGTGCGATTATCTATTTCAGATGGTGGCACATTCTCCTTGTTATCCAGAGGAGGCTCACATGTGTGGGTTAAAGCACGACGAGGGAGCTGAGAGAGGCTGGTGATGACTTTTCGCAAATCCGCCATGAGTGTTTTAGCGAATCCATCGTCGGAAACCTGAAGTACAGAAACAAAATGAGAGCGGATTAGTAATAATGCGAGCAAGTGGCGACAAAAGACGTAGATGAGATTACAAATCCTAACGCAAGTAAATGTGTAGATGATGAAAGCAATGAACTGAGATTAGTAGCGCCACAACAGAAGAAAAATTCACCTAAATATTGGAACAAGAGACTTAAGCCTCTGCTTCCCAAAAATAACCGAAAGCTTGACCATATGGGTAGCAAAGATGGCACATTTAGAGTGTGAAAACAAAAAGCGATTGGAAATTTGATCGAAAGATACGAGTGCAACACTGAATTCAAGGAAATTTAGACTTGAAACGATATATTACAGAATATAGCAAGAGTTTTGTAGGTGAGAAATCAGCACAGTTGCATTCTCAAATGACAATTACAATTGATCCAATATTGTATCGTGCGCCTACTAGCGACGAGCTAAGTGCGTACGAAAATAGCACTGTAACCTGACCGATTTAAAGTGCGGGTACCGAGAGGATAAGGACTCACTCCGTTGGCAACGAGAAAAGCATGCAAACGACGTAAGATGCGATGCAGGCGGTCAGTAGCTTCATCAATAATGATATCAACTCCATCTGCAATCGACAGAAAGCATGAGCGGAATAGAACAGGATGCGTGAGCGGTTTACAAGTGACCCAAATTGAGGGACTCAGGTCAATCAACTATAAGCCTACAACTGAGGCGCAGTAGATAGATTTACTTTGACTACAGAGATACCATCGTGTAGAAATGAACAGTGAGACAGAAAAAAGGTGAGGGTTAATACGAACAAGAACGCACCAGTGGTTGTGAGAAAACACAGGGATTCTCTTAGTTAAGTGCTAACAGCTAAAATCAACAGAAGGAAAGAAATTGTGTCCCTGATTCCAGGAGCGCAGTGTCGGATATGCTGTTCAACCACTGACGTGATGGAATTCAAGGTTACCATGCAAGACGGCCTGTGAGAACCCGACTCAACAAAGTTGGCATTTGGTCGGATGACGGCCCGGTAGCTTTGACTACAAAGGTACACCATCAGCAAGCCGTAAGCAGTCGAGAGATATGTGGAGTCAATCCGGCCGGTGTAATCTCAGCAGCTGGGTGGATTAGGCGCTATGGAATGTTAATAGATTGCCAACTGGCAGATGTCAGGACAACGCGACCCACTCTTACGGGTTGCAAATAGTGGTGGGAAGATGGAACCGGGTTGGCATAAAAATGCATGCAAAATCATGGTATGAATAGCAAAAATTGAATGAACTAACGGAATGAAAAGTTGCTAATAGCCCTTACCAACAACTTTGGATGACTCGCAGTCTTCGCGAGCACCATCGAGACGCTGCAGCACCACGCAACAAAGGCGGTCCATTTCGGAGGCATAGTGTTGCAACCTGGACCGAGTTCTATGCAGAGGCTAAGAACATAAGAAAATGAAACATAAGGCGAGCAGTGCCAAACAAATGCGTTCCACGAAGTCGAAAGTTAATAATATGAACGAGAATAAGTACCTAAAAGTGTTGGACACCGCGATGACGGAAATGGATCGAGAGTGGAGAATAGTATTACTATGCAGGTGTCGAAAATCACACATAAAAGACGCGTCACATGATGGACGTTTGCGGTAGTGTGAGGCACCCACACTAGTGTTGGTAATTTTCCGCTGAAGTTGAACCGAAACAATTACACTTAAATCATTTTGATTCTGTAGACCTGTAATAGACATCCGGCATGGTTCTGACATTTCGCCTTTCAACAGGAAGTATTGGCCATAGTCGTTGCTCATATTTCCATCGAGCTGTTACTCCTAGAATGGTCCGCCCACACGTAGCATTGAGGATATGTATGCTTTGTAATCCGCATGCGCGGGTTCCAGCCTGAGTAGGGACCAGGAATCCTAGCAGTATCCTTAGCCCATGCGCGAATGGCAGTGGTTGAGCCCCAGCGAAGCGTCGGTATTGCATACCGGCGCATTGCTGACTCCATTTCTTTTGATTTTTAAATTACTTGCATGAACAGATACGGTTGTGAAGGACTGACCAGTGAGTGCAAATGACAAATGATAACACAGCGGCATCGGTTTGGTTCCGGGGAAACGGTTTCACTAGTTGCGGTACGTTGGTGATTTCGCCCTGGCCGTCCAAAATATGCCGCTACGGGTGGATGTGTGTCTCCCATATAGAAATGACTCTTGCAGGACTAGCCAGGAGTTGTGTCTACTCCCACACTTTTGGATCATCTTCTGGAAGTGGTTGAGTTCGTTTACATAGGTAGCTTCTTCGAACCTAACGGACTAACAGATGAGATCCCTGCGTAGCTCGGGTTGCGTTTGCTAGTCTCCGCCATCTGTCGCGCTCACGCAACCGACGTTTTCTGAAGGGCGGCGTACAAAACGCCACTATGAAAGGAGTTCTACACTGTGGTTGCTAAACTTCGCCTGTTTGCACAAAAGACGTTTAAAGACCGTCGCTTTTCGATTACCGTTGCTTTCGGAGCATTGCTGATGCAGCACGCTAACTTAACAACAACAACAATGATGACGTTTGTAAGAGGATTTCCAAATCAGAGAGGATCTGCAAACCGCTGAGTTGCATAAATTCCCAACAAGACTTCGGCGAATAGAACATGTGATTCGCATGTCAGGTTAACATTACCGCCGTAATGCCACCTTTGCATGTACTGAAGTCGAGTCGAAGTGGAAACAAAGTGGCAGACGGATGATCTGGTTCCAATTACGTAGACGCTAACTTCGTAAATATATATATATATATATATATATATATATATATATATATATATATATATATATATATATATATATATATATATATATATATATATATATATGGCTGGCGGCATCCGGTTTCGGATTTGCCTGTCACTGTGGCCAGCCACAGGACGCCTGCGCCTACATCATCATCATCATCATCATCAACAGCAGTACATCAGCCATTTGAACTGATGCTTCGCTGCCATACAACCATGAGGACCTATGAAATAAAGAATAAGAAGAGGGAGAGAAGGGGACTTACCTGAAAACCTTAATGCCCTAAGCAAACATTCAGCGTCAAGGCGCCTACACCTTGTGTAGACAACATACCGTCACAAACAGCTGGCTATCGTGCAAAGATAAGGCGACATCGGCGAGACAGCTTCCTTGCGGCTTTCACTGCCACGCGTCATAGTCAGCCATTACCCCGCAGATAACTCAGCACCAAACACACTTTAAACAGACAATCCGATTAGGAGATGGCAGCAGACGCGCCACTGGTGTCGGTTGCGAGCCATGTCCTGTAAAGTCTCGAGCCAAGCACAAGGTGAGTCACGTGGACTCCAACCCGGAAGGCGAGACGGACCAACGGCACCCAGTTTGGGCGTCAGTGACTTCATTTCCCGCTGCCAAGTCAACTGCTGTCCACCTCGAGACTTGCGCCATCCGACACCTGGTAGACTGAACAAGGCCCTCCTAGGTAAGCGGTGACCAGCCATACGTAGCACGTGCCCGAGCCAACGTAACTTATTCAGTGCTATCTGTTGTTCTAGGGAGCTAGCATGATCATCACCACCTAGTACTCGCCTACGCACATCATCGTTGCGGACGCGCTGGTGTCATCCGACACCAGCAATGCTTCGCAAACAACGATGATCAGCGACTTGAAGGCGCCTCAGATCTTCAGACCGAAGGGGCCAAGTTTCACTACCGTAGAGCAGAACGGCCCTCACTGTGGCCTTGTATACACGGCCTTTCAGACGGAGGGAAACTCCCTTCTGTCGCCAAAGGTGCCGCAGGTTCAAAAAGGTAGCTTTGGCTTTTGCAATGCGTGAGCTGACATCAGTTTCTATGCTCCCATTATTGCTGATGCAGCTGCCAAGATAAGTGAAATGATCAACCACCTCGAGTTCCTCGTTAGCAAGCGTCAAGGGGTCATCAAGTGGCTGGTGCTTCTGCATCAACACTTTGCACTTTGAAGGTGCGAAGTGCATACCAAATAATGGGACCGCTCTAGACAGGCTATTCAGGGTTGATTGTGCCGCCTCAACATTGTCGAAAAGCAAAACGATATCGTCCGCATAATCTAGATCAACTAACCGTTCACCAGGCAGCACTTCAACACCTACATCGTGAGATTCCGCAAGGGAACACTCCATGATAGAATCCACGACGAAATTGAACAAAAACGGGGGAATCGGGCAACCCTGTCGAACGCCACTTGTAGTCGAAAAGCTATCCGATAGGGCACCACAGACCCTGACGCGGCCTCTAGTGTTCGAGTATAGAGCACGAAGGATGTTCACATATTTCGTGGGAACACCTTTCCGCGCAAGTATTTCGAACAGAATCGATCGATCGACTGAATCGAACGCACTCTTGAAATCGAGGAACACAGCTATTGTCGGTCTGCGGTATGCGTGGCGCTGCTCTAGCACATGCCGCAAAGTAAATATATGGTCTATACAGCCACGTCCTGGGCGAAAACCGGCCTGCTCTTCTCTAATCCGAGATTCCCGTTCTGCAGTGAGGCGACGAACGATAATCGAGGCCAGTAATTTTGTCACAACTGGCGTTAGGCTAATACCCCTGTGGTTCGCACAGTCTGTGCGACTGCCCTTCTTGTATATTGCCACTATAATCGATTCGCTCCAATTAGCAGGCACACTCTCCTCGTTCCAGATACGTTCAAATAGGGAGGTCAGTGCTTTGCAGAGGACCTCACCTCCATCCTTAAATAGTGCAGGTGGTAGGGAATCCGGGCCAGCGGCATGAAAACGATTGAGGGCTGTGATCGCGTTTCGGACCTCGGCCTCCGACGGAGGCTCTAAACTAACCGTCCATGGCACGTCCTGCATCACCTGAGTAGGAAGAGGTCCGGGAGCAGGGGGCCAGCTGAACTGATGTTCAAAGTGCTCAGCCCAACGAGCCATACGGCACTCCTTATTGTGTATCAGCGCACCCGCGCTGTCCCTGATTGTCTCACTAACGCCTGGTTTTCTGGGACCAGTGGTGCGGATTAGCTGGAAGAGCTTGCGGTAATTGCCGACTGCTCCTGCCTCCTCCATTTCTTGAGCCCGACTGGTCCACCAGGCTTCCTTGTCAGCACGTAGACTCCGCTTTAGTTCACGCCTAATAGCCCGTCTGGTCACATTGTGTTCAGAACCAGCCGGGAGGTGCCTTCTAGCTTCCAAAAGGTTCACGGACCTCTCGGATATCCAGTGACTGGTGCGATGACGACTGATAGTGCCACAAACAGATGCTCCTGCGTCGTGCATAGTGGCCGAGATCCTATTCCACTGAAGTTCAGTATCATTAGGACAAGACAGCGAGAGATCGCTATGCAGTGCTTCTTGATAGGCTTGCCTGACCGAGGGCTGGGACAATTTCTCCGTTGCCAATCGGGGGAGACGCTTTGTGCGCCTTCCGGTAAAGTTCATGGAGAAACGACAGCGCACCAAGGCATGGTCAGAGTCGAGACAGGTACTCCAGTACGAGCGGCAATCCAGAATGGAACCGCGCCACCTGTAACTTATGGCTATGTGGTCAATTTGGGTCCATCGCTGGCCAGCTACAGGAGGACGCCAAGTGGCACTTCGGCGCTCACTGTGTCTAAAAGCAGTGCTAGTAAGAAACAATTAGTGCTCCGCACACAGTTGCAGCAGACGCTCGCCGTTGTCAGTCCGTTCGGAGTTAAGTCCATACTTACCACCCAGCTGAGCTTCTGAAGAGCTCAGACGCCCTACTTGTGCGTTCATATCCCCTGCAAGTACTATAATATCTGAACTAGTAGCACTGCGTAGCAGCGTGTTCAGTTCGTGATAGAAAGTGTCCTTAACTGCATTAGAACTGCAGTCCATAGGAGTATAAGCAGAAATCACAAACAAACAGCATTTTGTTTTACTTCGCGAATTCACCTTAGCTGATGTCGTCAAACGGGCTGCACATAAACGGCTGTTCACCGGAATCCAATCAAGCAACGATGACTCAGCCTTGGAGCTGAGAATGATACCTACACCAGCTTGACCCGTGAGTGCCGCATCGGCGTCTCCGGATGCGTGCAACCAATAACGAAAGGATATGCCGGGTGCAGTCAATTCAATAACCCCGATAGGGTCATTAATCCTAGTTTCGGACACACAACACACATCAACACCCAGTGTGTCCAAGGTGCGTGCGAGTGCAGCCTGCTGACCTGTTTGTCTCAGAGTGCGGACGTTGAATGTCGCCATGGAAACGGGACAGCGTGGTCTTATAAGGGACTTTTGCCGATAGGCGTCCGATAGGTGCTGTGGGATGGTGGCTGCAAACGGTTCTACTCCAGTAGCACTTCGGTTGCTGTCAATTAAGCTGGGAATTATAGAAGGAAGGTTAGTAATGAAGGCCGGGATGGTGGAAAGAAAGAAGGGAAAAGAAAAGAAGGGAAAAGAAAGAAGGGAGGCGCCAGCAGTAGCATGCTTTCGCTTATCCGCCCTGCTGTATGCAGCAGATAAGGCGACCCATGATAATCTGCGCGACGGTCGATGCAGGATGAAGTTTATGTTTGAAGAAAATGTCATGGTTGTATGTGGGCTGGGATACTGCCAGGGCGCCCAGACCTAGACAGGAGAACGATTAGGGTCCTCATCCAAAGCCTTTGGCTCAAAAGCCTGTCCGCAAGGCAGCGGGGTGGCAGTGATTTAGTTTTACAGAAATGGACGCCATCCCATTTCAAACCCCCAACCTGGAGGACCAGGAGACTGAGTTTGTCTGACCTCTCACCATTGACCAACCTGGTAGGAGTAGCTCTCAAGATGCTCGGAGGGACCATGAATGGCTTGCGCAGCACCACCCACAGCTCCAACCACACACCCCATATCCTGTGTAAACCCGAAGGAATAAGACCGGGAGGCATGCGGATAGGAGCCACGTTTCATCAACGGAGCCGGCCCACACTCCTTCACAGGCAAACACAAGCACACTGTATTTGGGAAATCAAGCGCACATAAGGCGGTGGCTGGACCGTAGTCCGCACCACACTGACTGCATGGAACCACTCTTCGAGCCTAGCACGGCCACAAGGACCGTGCACCCCGTCCCCTCCAGCAACGACCAACTGTCTCCTGGAGCCAGTATGGACGAGGTAGTGGGTAATAGACAGGTAGGCACTTTGTCAACATGCACATCAAGCGCAGCCACACCGGGGATATCAAGCAACAGTCAATCACCTGAAACGACAAGATGAAATAAAACAAATACAATAATACATACAGATACGGTGGCATAACTCTAAGCTAAATAAGCATATGAAGTAAGTTGGTTAGCAACAAATCCGCGATAAGGAAATAATGTCCACAAGTTAGTTAAAAATGCTACGAAACGCAACAGAGTTACCGAAGATAAGCGCAATTAGTGTAAGCAACGTGGCCAGTTAATGGAACATTATTCATGGAGGCAGAACAAACCAAATAAAGCGGAATGAAATTTATCCAGCTTAAAAAGACCTAGTTTACGTGTAAGTTGGTTTAGCCCAACTGCGGTGAAGAAGCATCAAGAATGCAACATCAGCCTCAGGGAGGTGGCACGTAGACAAGTCGAAATAACGTTATCAGGACATGAACTGTTGTTGATTTCGGGTGTTATGAATCAAAGCCAGAGTTGATCGGTGCGAATGACGCGGGCTGATCAAGAGAGCGGTCGCCCAGATGTAGAAGGCACCATCGCATACGGAGGAGAAAAGCCGGGTACGAAAGCGACAGACGTTGATGGATACTAGTCCATCGACGTCGGGCGTATGGTGCTGTAGTACATGCGGTCGCGAATGTCTCAGCGTGTTTGGCAAGCCACCAGGGTAAGCACTTGGAGCCAGTATCCAAAAAACGTCGAGCCAACAATCTAAGCAAAAGCAGTGCAGCGACTGGTAGGCGCACTGCGTCCACCCATTCGATTTACTAACCCAAGTCGATAAGGTGGCAGATGTGGTACGTATGCCGCAAGGTCATTGAAGTTGGTATGTATGTGTGCCTGCGTGCTAAGTTTCTTGCATTTCAGGGGCTGGTGGTTATTGATGGATCTCCCCGATGTGGCTGCGCTTGGGGTGAATGTTGACAAGGTGTCCACCTGTCTATTACCCACCACCTCGTCCATACTGGCTACAGAAGACAGCTGGTCGTAGCTGGAAGGGACGGGGTGCATGGTCTTCGTGACCGCGTTAGGCTAAAAGAGTGGTCCTACGCACATCGCTTGTGTGTGGAGTAGGCTACGGCCTAACCATCGCCTTGTGTACTTCTGGTACGCATGATTCCCTACATAGATAGACAGGAATGATGCTGCTGTGCAGGTTGAAGGAGTGTGGGTCGGCTCCGTTGATGAAACGTGGCGTCTATCCACATGCCTCCCGGTCTTATTCCTTCGGGTTTACACTGGAGATGGGGGTGTGTGGATGGAGCTGTGGGTGGTGCAGCGCAAGCCACCCATGGTCCCTCTGTAGGCGCAAGCGTCCTGTGGCTGTCCTGTTGAGGCCGCATTGATAAGCAAATCCAGAACCGGATGCCGCCAACCATATATCGTGCATAACAAGAATATAAGGATGGAAGCAACTAGACGGGAGTTAAAAACACGCACAAAAATGGGTGTTGCAGTGGATGATCAGTAAATAAATACGAATTCTGACCCATCGAAAGCACTTTCAAGCGGATGTACTTACGGGTCTCAAAATCAAAACGCAGCAGTCGAGCGATCACAATGACAAAGTAACTTGAATCTCGAGTAATGAAAGTTTCAACCCAAGTTGTGCGTCCATCACATTGCCGTCGCTTCCAACCAACGACATCGCACACAAAGATGTGACGATCGATTGCTAGACAGCCACAGGTCGGCTGAACTCCAGAGCACAGATCAAAAACATTAAGAATGCAAGTGTTCGGCGAGAGAAAAAAGATGAAATCCGACAGTTAAGCAAAGCGCGGTGAATCAAGCGATTCTGACTCATATCGCAGCGACTCACCCGACATGATTTGTGTATTTCACGTGACAGTTCGGGAACGCCAATTTCCTCACGGCGCGATATCTCGTTGTCGGCCAGCTGCCGAGAGGTCACCGACTTTTCGAGCTCTGAGAGCAACTGCGTGGTTCCTAAATGCCATTGGTCCGCATCCGTTTTATTTGTAGGGCTGAGCACAGGTTCCGGTATGTGGCTGCAACAGATGACAAATAACTCTGAAGGTACGAGAACTTTGTATTGATGATCCGTTGCAATACAACGGAACGAAGACTGGGATAATGCTAAAGAGCTCAAATCTAGATAGAAGCGAGAGGTTGTACAGTGGCGAAGAGGTAACAAGTCATGCGCTAGAAACACTCTACCGCGCAACGCTTGGATTCATTCGATCTGAGGTGCACCTAAGTCAACGGCACCATTTGCCATTGAAGTGCTCAAATAACTGCTAACAACAGTCTTATGGATGTAAGAATACTGAGTTCAGTTGAGTTCATAAATCATGATATCTGTACTGGGGCGCATAAATCCAACTGGCTTGACCCACGCTACTACAGCAATATTAGTACTAATAACAACAGTGGATTGAGGGAAAACCAAAAGTGCCAAGAGTAGTTGAGGGTCAGAAACAAGAGGAGAAATGAAGGAGTTATCGATATCGTGAATGCGCCGTAGGGGATGTGGTTGGTCTTAAAACTCGCATGCAATGTGAGCAAGCTTTCAGTGTCGCTTTACGCTCTGCTTTCTTGTCACCAACGGATCACCTAGGGTGCAATATTGGCAAACAGTATGCTGAAGCAGTTAATTCGCTTGCTTCCATAGTATACCGTAAGCACAACGGATGCCATCTGATATGCACACTAATACAACGCCAGAGTACGTTACCAAACACTAGACGATGAGCTTTAGCCATTTCATCATACGTGAGCAACACAACACAACACGGTGATCAAATATGACCAGTACCCCGACGTTTTCTGTACGCAGCGGTCAGGACATAATCTGTGCAGTAATACTGTCCTCACTGTTTCGCTACACTTTCCCTTGGGTATAAACTCGCTGTTCCAACAAGAGACCGTGAGCTAGAAAAGGCAATTTGTGCAATAATCTCGATGATGCCACCGGCAAAGATGATATAGCCATATAGATAAGTAAACAAAATGGCTGTTCCATGATTGTAAAAATGATAGTGCGTCGATCCAGTCTAGTGGCGGCAGTTGGCCCAAACCAAGATGCGGAACAGCAAGCGTCAGTCTACTCAGTAGTACTTGAGTAGAAGAGGGATCCGATTGACAGAGTTATACTGTTGGTGTACTCTAAGCTTGACAGTAGGCCACCCTGCAAAAAAGTTGTACGACAGGAGAGCGGACAGAAGCTAGGTGTTGTCGGCTCGTAACACTTCACTCTGCGACCACGTCCATAATGGTCTGCGCTCGCCATACCGGATTCGCGATGGCCTCGATTACAAAGCTGAATGATAGCGAGTAGGTAAGAGGTACCTCTGATGCAGTCCGCTCGTAATGCGGAATGTAGATAAATTTCCCATAGACTCCTACACGGTCTCGGGGAGCCATGAGATAGAAATTTTGGAGCGTAGAGAAACGTTCCTGAAACGCTCTTCAGAGAGAGAAAGCCATCAGCAACAGCGTCAGTCAATTCAAAGGTAATTTTCAGGTCAAGGAAGGACACTCGTAAGTGTGGTGACATTCGCATATGAAATAGAGTGAAAATAGGAGTAACACAGTTCTTGTTAGGGTGAAAAACAGTCAGATTTTCCTGTTCGTCAATGATGATAGTCAGTGATTCGCCACAGCACGATGAATGTTACTGACTTAGAGACAATAAGGATGAGACCGATATCATGATGATTTTCGCAGCAATCCCTCTAGTTGACAGACAAGAGTTGAAGCACGTTTCCTGCTTGTGTCAAATAGAGTCAAACGGAGTGGTTACGACAAATTTCTTGATGACCAAGCAGCGACTTACATGAAAAATATTTAGCCGACGTGAGGAGAGTAAGCATTATGCGGGTGCGCATGAGGGTACGGTATGAGTAGACGCGAATGTTCCAGACATATTGGTACCCTTGCACTGATGTTCTCAATCCATAACTGATGGTAGTGAGATCAATTTGAGTCCAGAACAGATTGCTATCAGGTGGTCGCCATGCAACTCGGTGTGAATATTTGCGTTGTAAAGTTATGCCGTGATCAATGAGAAATATCAATCTCAGAACAGACTCCGAAGCGATGTTCTGATAAGTGCCCTGAACATATATATATATATATATATATATATATATATATATATATATATATATACATATATATATATATATATATATATATATATATATATATATATATATATGGTTGGCGGGAGAGCCTATGGTGCGCTGAGGCTGGTGGTGGCTAGATCCTGACAGATGGTCTACCCACTGCTGCTACTGCTGCGCCATAGTCTCATGTCCTGGGCGCCTCCACATGGCGACCGCTGGGTGGGAGTTAGGTTTCGCCCTTCTCCCTGCTAAGATCCAGGACACCAATCCGCATGAGTCAGCTAACTGACCATGTGCTAGACCCGCTGCCTTTCGGGTGTTCATTTAATCGAAGGCTTTGGCTGAGGACCCGAGTCGTTCTCCTGTCAGGTGTGGGCGCCCTGGCAGTATCCTAGTCCATCCTCTCCGGAGGTTAGGAAGTGGTCGTTGGCCCACTTCCCGTAAAACCTAGCCATGGGAGACAACAGGTTACGGGTGATATTCTCAATGCTCGATTGGCGTAGAGCACGAGTGCCACGCATTGTCTCTGACGGTGGGAGGACACCTCCGGGTGTTCAATGGTTTGCTACTGCCCGCCTCAAGCCAGGCAGCCCCTGGTCAAATTGGTGCAAACCCGCCAAAAACCCACCTGCGTCTGGCCGTGGTCGCAGGTGCGTATCCAATTACGGTCGCAAAACATATGATAACTGTTCCAGAACCTCAAAGGCTGCGTGTGACGGCCGTCAAGCAGATCCCAATCTGTCTCTGCAATCACATTCCCGAGCTGGATCTGCTCTCCACTGCCTTGTGGGTCAGGCTATTGAGCCAAAGGCTCCGGGCGGAGTCCCTCAAGCAAACCTCCAAACCACCCACTGCCTTGTGGGTCAGGCTATTGAGCCAAAGGCTCCGGGTGGAGTCCCTCAAGCAAACCTCCAAACCACCCACTGCCTTGTGGGTCAGGCTATTGAGCCAAAGGCTCCGGGTGGAGTCCCTCAAGCAAACCTCCGAAGGACAACAACCACCTCGCGTGCGATTGCCCACCAATGCAATCGTGTGCCTGCGCGCAAAGCACTCAGCATCGGGTGCTGGAACGTGCGCACACTACTGGACCGGAACTCGAGCGAGCGCCCGGAGCGACGCACTGCACTGGTCGCAATGGAGCTGGCGCGCTACCACATCGATATTGCGGCGCTCAGTGAAACTCGGCTCGCTGAGCAAGGTAAGTTACATGAAGCAGGTGCTGGCTACACATTCTACTGGGTGGGCAACGCCGCCTCAGCACCACGTGAACATGGGGTCGGATTTGCAATATCCGACCGCCTGAATGGCCAGCTGGTGGGTGAACCAACAGGCATCAGCGCGCGGCTGATGACTGTTCGCCTACGACTCGGAAGAGGTAAGTTTGCTACTTTTATAAGCACGTACGGTCCGACCATGTGTTATCCTGATGACACGCGTGATCAGTTCTACACTGAGCTATCCTCCGTGATACGGTCTGTGCCGAAGAGCGACCGACTATTTCTGCTGGGTGATTTCAACGCGCGCGTTGGGCGTGATGCATCAGCGTGGACAGATGTTATCGGTGCGCATGGCATTGGTTCAGCGAATGCGAACGGTGACAGGCTGCTCTCACTGTGTACCACTCACGGCCTGACGATCACGAACACTCGGTTTGCACTGAGTGCGAGTGATATAGCAACTTGGACGCACCCACGGAGTGGTCACGCTCACCTGCTCGACTATGTCATCGTACGTCAGCGTGATATGCGTGAAGTGCGCATGACACGTGTACTGCGTGGAGCTAGGTGTGGCACTGATCACAAATTGGTTCGGACCAAACTGTACATATATTTTCGTAAATCGATGTATTGCACTCCCGCCGTGAATCGGCGTAAATTTAACATTCTCTCCCTCGGTACTGTGGCGAAACGTACTGAGCTGGAGAAGGCGATGGCTGCACGCCTGTGTGGTGATGTGGACTGTATAGCCACAGTGGGCGACCTGTGGCACCACATTCGTGACCAGGTGACAGCTGCTGCCGAGGAGACCATCGGGCGCGCAAACTGTAAGCGGCCTGATTGGTTTGATGACAACAATGTGACGATTGACGCATTGGTGTCAGAGAAGAATGCAGCATTTGCTGCACATGTTGCAGACCCCAGTGACTTGGGAAAGAAGAGTCAGTTTCGCAAACTTCGACGGCGACTGACCCGAGAGCTCCGTCGCATTAAAAATGCATGGTGGACGGAGAAGGCGAAGCAGATTGAATGCTACGCCGAACGCCGTCAACACAAGGAATTCTTTGACTCCTTGAAGGCGGTGTATGGACCGAGATTGGAGCCGCTGAGGACACTGATCGATGGTAGTTCAGGCGCTACCTGCACCCAGACTGCAGACATAATGCAGGTCTGGCGGAAACACTTTGACTGTCTCTTGAACAACCGTTCAGAGATCGACTGGCCTACATTGAATGGCCTGAAGCAGCACGATGTGAAGGCGGATCTGGCGGATACGCCGAGACTGGATGAGACGCAGAGAGCACTTGCTCAGCTGCGAAACGGCAAATGTGCCGGAGGTGACGGGATCCCACCTGAAGTATTGAAACACGGTGGACCCGCGTTGTTGACTGCGCTGCACCACTTGGTGCAACGCGTGTGGATTGAGGAGGAGGTGCCTGCTGAGCTGAAGGATGCCCTTGTGCTACCACTGTACAAGGGCAAAGGTAGCAAGCAATGTTGCACGAATTATCGTGGCATCAACTTGCTGAGTTGTGTGGGCAAGGTGATTGCCCGAATCCTGCTCAATCGCCTCGTGAGTCAGATTGTGGAACCAAACGTGGCGGAAGAGCAATGTGGATTCCGTTCGGGTCGCAGCACTATAGATATGGTGTTTGCGGCTCGTCAGTTGCAAGAGAAGTGCAGAGAACGACAAGATCCATTGTA